AAGGAAGCTTACCTCATAATATCGACGGAAATATGTAACATCACCCAAAATTCCTGGATTGGTAAAGTTAACCATGGCAAAGAACTCTTCTAGATCATTCTGTAGAAGTATATGAGTGAAGGGCGTATTACAAAAATGAAAAATAAGCTTAAAGCCTTAAAGGTATATGAAATTAAGAATTCAAAATAATTCGAGGCAAATGAGTATAACCTACATTGAGAAATTGGCTTCTTAATTCTTATGAAAAGGGAAAAAATATACCTGCATCGGAGTTCCTGATAACAAAATCCTACGCCTGCATGACAAAGCAGCCAATGCCTGAAGAGGAGATAGAGAAATAGTTCCAAATAAAAAAGAATTAGAGTAGAAATAAAAGCCCACATGTTATACCCGATTTGTCAATGTCTGATCATTCTTCAATCGGTGAGCCTCATCACATATGAGTAAATCACATGATTCACTTTGGCTGAACTTCGACGAATGCATACGAAATGTCTCGTACGAAATAATCAGCACCTATTAACGTATGAATAGTAATTCATTTTAATGAGTCCAGCTAAAACATTGTATTTAAATATTCTCAGAATAAGCACATAAATATACCTGCAAAGAACTCTTGGGATGTACAAAGCTGTCAATGCTAGAGACAACATCCTCTCTGGAACTTTCGCAGAGAGCAATAAGGTGAACCCTTTCTCCAACCCACTTCTTAATTTCAGCCTCCCAATTACTCACGAGACTAGTAGGAGTAACAATGATGGCCTTTTTAACCATTGGAATTCCATCAAACCCTTGACAAAGAAGGGTATAAAGTAAGGTGATCGACTGCAATGTCTTTCCCAAACTGCAGGATGATTACCAATACACCTTTAAAGATGTGAGTGAAAACAATGCAGAAGTACCGTGCTTGTGTATTCGTGTTTTGATTGTTTAAATGTTTGAGAGAGAGGAAGACTAACCCCATATCATCTGCCAGAATGCACCCAAATATGTCTGTCCCCTTATGTAGCCCTGAAACACATTCAAACATGAACTGCACCCCCTCTCTGCAGAAAAGTTAAATATGTTCATCTCATGGATTACAGTCAACAAAACTGCATTATGCTTTTTCCAAGACATTTTTCAGATTCAATTTTTTTCTCTCTATTTTACTGCTATGGTTGCTTTTTTGTGATTAAAGAAGTTTGAACTGCGATGAGAAAGACAGAACCTGAATCCTATATAACTGCTTCAGAAATAAAAATATTAAACAGACCATGGGACTATATTGTCTTGACTCCTGCTTGACTCAGGTTGTGAGACAGATTGAATACACTTTTGATCAGGACCATATACTGAAACATGCCATAACATAAGACAGAAATGATACCTTTGATGAGGACGAAGGAAACGAACTAGCAATGGATCAACTATTATGGATGCTAAATTAGTGACATTGAGCTCGGAGTCTTCAGGATGCCACAAGACCAAAGGATCAATCCCAGGTGGTAGAGTCACATTTTCCTCCACTACATCTTTCTCAGTTGTTTTTGGGATAAATAAGTTATTGGAAACTACAGATGACACTGGCCTTGAAGAACCCCATGGGACAAATCGTTTCCGTGCCCACAGTCGACGTGCAAGCTGGTTGTTCCTTTCATCATAGCCACTTGTGCATGGAGGTTTAAAGGGTTTTCTACAGACTGCTGCGCCTTCTGCCACTGAGAGAACTCTTGGGAGCAGAGATTGTCTTCTCACAACCAGGTTACCTCTGGTATAGTATGATCACAAGACTGAACTTGTTATTTTCAAAGTAATAGAAGTTCAAAATGGAAAAAGTCATTTAGACAAATGCGTTGCAAGTGTCCAAGAACAGTAACCAGGGAAAACCCAATAAAACTGCAATACTGAATCCGTAGAAGTAGAAGTTACAAGATCACTATTGTTCTGTTTCTGTCACTATTTAAGTTTTCATCCACTTCAAGCACATCAACTATTATTAGAGGAGCAGTGTTGCTAGATCTATAAGGACGAAAAATCGCTGCTGGATCCAGAAGGATCCTACCGACATATTTCGATGGTCCGTCCAATTTTAAGGTAATCCCAGAAAATAATAAGAAGTTAAATATTTAAAATCGTTTCGAAATTTCATAATTCAAAACAAAGTATTCGAGCAATCTAAGAAAACGGCCATATGTTGAATCACGACCCACCACCATGTGCATGTAAAACAAATTAACCAGTTTCCGATATCAAAAACTTTCAAGTTCTTTTCTCCTCCTCTTCTTCCCAAACCAACCAACGCAGCAAAATTAGAGCCTCCCTGTAAGATAAATTGGCACCTTCCCAATTCGAGGTCTACTTCTTTACTTTACTTTGAATGCAATCCTTAGCATTTGCACTAACTAACACTCGCTAGTTGGAAGGGTGAAAAAAAAGAGACGCCCTAGACTTCTAACAAGCTGGGCTAGTGAATTATCTCACTTCAGTTCAGTCGTGAATCGCGTAGCTAACCGTACATACCTCAATAGGGCATCGACATTCTTCGATTTTCGATCCTCTTCGGATGAAGGAGAAAAACTGGAAGATTGTTCCCCCTCCTCGTCCTCGTCATCTTCAGAGGCTTCGCCATTAATGTCGGTATAGTCGTCGCCTGAATCGCTAATATCAGAAGCTGGAACAATCTCGTCTTCTTCTTCCATGAAAGAGGCTCCTCGATCAGTTTTCTCGCCCGTAGCTGAGAATCTGAGATCGAAATTCAGAATTCCGAGATGTAGGAATTTCTTCCCACAGAGCAGCAATCAGCATCGTTCAAATCTTTTTTATTTTGGCGCCAAAAGGCGGCGGCTTTTCACTGCATTCGTCGAATTACCGAATATGTCCCTGGATTACGGTCTATTGTCAACGTTACCCTTCCCAATATGAGCGTGCTAAACTCAAATTTTATGATAATAATACCCAAATTTACCTTGGGTCAAAGGATTTATTTGAAGTTTATCAAAATGGTCCTAGTTTAATAGTAATTGACATATATCTCCGACAAAAAAGTTGTAAGTTAGATGACCACTTTACATGTGRCGTTTAAATTCCATTTTGGCACTTTAAAATTTAGATTTGTTTCATTTTTTTTTATCAAAGTTGTTTCACTTTTAAATCTTTAATTTTTTTTCGAATTTCTAAAAAGTAACCATATTGATCAAAGTTCAAGTTGTTTCATTAGTTTACGTATTATATAATAGATATTTTAAAATTTCAGAAATCAAACGAAACAAATACAATAATCTAGAAATTGTTGTTTCAATTTTTTTTTTCATTTTTTAAATTGGCAAAAGCTTTTATATTCTGTTCGTTTATTACCTTTTTGTTTCCTTTATAAAACAACTTCAGTTGTTTTAACAGTTAATTTGTACTGCACAATAACCTGTTGAATAGTTATGTCAAAGTCGAGAATAATCTCAATAGTTGCAAGTTATTAGATAACAGTATTAAAAGTAATTTTAAAACAAAAATAGAAAATTATTTGAAAAATAGTCTCTCAACAGACTTTCTGACAGGATTGTAATAAAGAATTATGACTTCTTGCAAAAGACAGTCAAGAATGAAGCTAACTAAACTCACTGCCAAATTTGCAGTATTTTCTTCTCTCTTTTTTTTTTTATTTATATTTTGCCACTGTTTTCTTAGCAGGCTAATATTCTTTCCATTGCTTCTGTTGCCTATCATCAATACAAAGGCTAATCTAAGATAAACTTCTGTGGGAAAAATTACAGCCCCTCCGAGGTGGGGCTAGAGATGTACTATTTTCCGAAAGATAATCAATACTTCATTGAATCACAATGATTTTCCRTTATCTAAATCCTCCATTAGTTCGATGTCCTTTCGAGCCGTTATCTTCTGCACATACCCTGCAAGAATTGCAACCAAGTAGAAGAGGCAAATTTGAATTCAGATTTTGGTTTGGGAAAGCAGCCAACATGTTCTGAGATACTACACAATTTTGTCAAAAAGTGTTGGTAAACAACTAAAGCTTGGAGAAATTCTACTGGCATACAGGGAGATATTGAATCAGCGTACAAGAAACAGTCGTTGAAGTATCATCAGAGGATTTGTTAAGAGGCAAATGTTTATGTAGCAAAATACATTTAATATTAACAGTGTAAAAAGAACCTCTCTGGTTGGGAACAAGCATCATATTTTTAACAGAAGTTTCTGTTGTCTGAGCTAAATCTAAAACCAGAATGATCTAGCTCCCTGATCTAGACAGAAAGCAAAGTAATAAAGCTATCAAATTTATCAAGTCTGTGGAGATAACAGGCATGCACTGTTATTCATCCTTCAAAAGAACCTCAATGATGAATAGAATCCTAAGAAATTCAACTGGACTCCTACCAACATGTTCAAATTTGCACTTGCCAGAAACACATCAGTCAAGTTTGCAAGAAAGAACTATTAACTGAGAAACAGCCAATCTAAAAGGAATATTTGCATAAGAATCTTATTATATTTTGAACATCAAGAGTTGCATTGTCATGATATGAAGATTGTCAGCAAAACCCTGATAACACAACATTGCAATATGCCCCAATATTTCCATGATGTGACTGTTTCCATAGGAAAAGTGGAACAAGAATAAGAAGAATACCAATTCCAAGGCAAGGTATACATTTGCAAGTGATCTCTCTTCCCCTTTTGTTATAGTAGCTAACAAATCCAGACCCCTGGCAACTGCGACACTTCCCGGTCCATTCATACACCACTTCTTTACAATCCTACAATTTACAAGAATGGCTTAAAATCTAAGACTCCAGATGGAGATAACTGGTATATGTGCGAGGTTGAAAAGGGATTTTAAAACACACCAATGCAGCCTAAATTTGAGGTGAAAAGTATTAGCTAAAGCGTGCTAAGTTTGTTGGTAATATAATATCAATACTTGAACCGTTACATCATACATGTATATTTCCAGCTTCCAGATCATTGAATTGATGTGACAATTTGCATTCTAAAGCAATACAGAATAGTCCCTTAAATGAGTCAATAACATACGTTTTAGGGCACTAAGCAGAGAAATCACTACAAATTGCTTTCCACAATAAGCGGAATTAGGAAAAAGTAGAAGCACAAAATCAAAAGTTGATACTGCGAACAAAGAAGAACCATGTCAAAAGTTCCGAGGACAATAACAGACCTCCACTTGGGGATCACACCGAAGCCGACGGTCGATCTCCTCCGGCGGGACAGGGGAAGAATCCGGATAAGTCATAGGAAGCGGAAGAACGTCGCTGTCATCGGCCAAGTAACTCTCTCTATCCCGTGACCATTTTTTCTCCATGGCATTCACTTTAACGCTACCGTTTCCGCCACCCGACCTCCCCGCACCATCGACAGCGGCGGAGGAAGCTCCTCCGTCATACTCTGGTCCAAGTCGAAAGCCGCCGGCCGCATCGGTGGCAGCAACGGACGGGAAATTGAACAACCGGGAAAGTGAAGGGCCCACCGGGGCGTCTCCGGCGGTGGCGCGGCAGCGGAGGAAGGAGGGGGAGAGAGATGAGGATTGATGACGAGCAGTGGCGGGATTGGAAGGGAAGAAAAGGGAAGTAGGGTTTATGGCGAACATTACCCGAATTATTGAACCCAATTGGATTTTTCAGCTTCTGGGAATCAACAGAACAGTCGACGGAGGATGGAGGTTATGGGTTGTGGCCACCGGCGATTGCATATGCCATAGAATGAGCAGCTATTGATGGAGGATTGGGATTGGGCAGAGCATTGGGGGCCACGAGCATGGGGGTTTTGTTGGGTTTAATCTTTTTTAGTTACAAATTTAATCATTTTCTAAATATTGAAAATTTGGTTTTTTTATTTAAATAACATATGGTGGGATTTTATCTTAAAGTTTGAATCTGTATCTGTAGTACATTGCCATTATGGAATTAAAAATAACTTTCTAAATCTAAAAAAAAAATCTTTAAATATTGTTGGAGGCCGATTATCACATRTCAAGTATCAACATTAAAAGTACTTAGGTTAAAACTTGTTTTGAATTATAAAAAATTGTTAAAGTCCTTATCGAAAGCAAGAGCTGAGCTAACCATTCTCTATTATAATCCTACTTGAATGGTCGGTGCCGACCTGAAATTGTATTCAAGAAAATGTCGAATAAACTCTTTAAATCCGACAACACGTCCCGTTTTACAGATGGTCAGACGATCGTTAGTCCCATATCGGGATTTCTGTCGGATCCAATCTCTATCAATAGAGTGTCTGCTCCTAGTACGTACAATGAACGTGGATCCATTTGCATTCATCCAGTTAGATCGGATAAGAGCTGACTTGCTCGTCGGAATACTAATATTGTTTTGTAGGTTATTCTTAGGATTAGGAAGATCATTTCGTGCGCTCCGGCCTACCTAAAAGTAAGTCCGTCAAATTTTCTTGGAAATTGAGGTGGAAACACATATTAAATTTAAATTTCACAAATCAGGGAGGATTCTTTTAAATTTAGTTCTATGTAAAGAATCACCCCAGATCAAAAGAGGACCGAGTGTAGTAAACGTAAAACCAAACAAAAACAGAAAAAAAAAAGAAAGAAAGAAATAGTGAATAAATTTGCAAAAATTTCGTTACAGTAAAAATACTTTACCATTTTATTCTCTCCTCATTTACCCATTACCCTAAAACCCAGACTTTCTATTTTTCTTCATAACATTCTCCATCTAAACAATTAGCCGCCACCACCCTCTCTCTTATCTCTTGACAAACTCCGGCGACASGAGAAGGGGCGGCGCGTCGACGAAATTCGGCGTATGCGTCTAAGGCGGCGGCGGAACCCTACGGTATAACTACAACCACGAACGGCGGCGGTGTAGTAGCAAATCCGGCGACCTGCAGCAACAAATCGCGACTATCCACGGACGTTCGACGGCGGCAGATTCCAGCGGTGGGGCGGTGACCGTGCAGACCCGGCAACCCCCTTCCAGCGAGTCTTCTCCCGGAGTGACAGATCGTAGACACCCAGATCCGGCGACCCTCCTATGAACCATATCTGATATAATTTCAAACTCACGACAACTCGATTAGCGATTACCATCACTCCGGTGATTAAGCAACGTAGGTAAGTAAGGTACGCGATTCTAAAGTTTTTTAATAGTTGAACTGTATTAAGATTCTGAAATATTTTGGTATTTGGACTATTTTGATTCTGAAAAACTTTGTGAGCGAATGTTTGTATGAGATTTTGGTTCTAAATCAGTTGCTATTTGAACTGATTGTATAAGAGTAAATTGGTGGAGATTTTGGACTATATTATGAGTTTATGTTGACTGTAAATTGAGGGTTATTGGACTGGTTTATCAGTGCAAGTTATTTTCTGAAATTTGTTATTATTGGAGAGTTTATGTTTATTGAAATTTTAGGATTCTTTGATTACTTTTATGAGTTTATATTTGCTAAAAATTAGGAGATTAATGGATTATTATGAGCTTATGTTTATGGAATATTTTGAGTGTTTGAAGTTTATAATTTTGAAATTGTGTGGATATGGGAGGTTTGAAATTCACATGTTCTAATAAATGATTGAATTTTTGTACTAATTGTACATGCATTAATATTATATTTTCAAACAAAAGAAAGAACAAAAGAGGACTAAGTAATATGCTTATGTAGGGTTTCGGCAATGAAAATCCTCAAGTAATGTGCTGCTAGCGCACAAAAATTCTCAAGGAGTGTGCAAGCGCAAGCTACTATATATTCTGGGCCAATGGACACGGAACGGTCATCAGTGCCTGATCATGATGAGAGAAATGGTCATGGGGAAGGAGGACACGATGACTTTGGATGGAGTGGAGCAGAAAAGTCTAGTAAGCATCGGAGTGAGGATCATCGGAAGAATAGTCGAGGGGAGGAAAAAGACCACAGAAGTAAAGATCGAGACCGATCCAAGAGACGTAGTGACGATGCACCAAAAGAAAGGGAGAAAGAGGTAAAAGATTCAGAAAGGGATCGAGTTCATAGTCGGGACAGGAGGAAGGAAGAAAGAGATGAGCATGAAAAAGAAAGGAGCAGGGGTAGCAAAGTTAAAGAAAAAGAATATGAGAGAGAGAGAGATAGAAAAGATCGAGGAAAGGATAAAGAACGTGGGAGGGAGAGACAGTTGGAGAAGGATAATGTACGAGGACAAGACAAAGAAAGGGGAAAGGAGAAAGACAGGGACAGGGATAGGGATAGGAAAAAAAAAGAAAAGGAAAAGGACAGGTCAAATGAAAATGAAAGAGAAAAAGGGAGAGAGAAACACAGAGATCAAGAGGAGAAGGAAAGCTGTAGGAACACTGACAAGGAGAGAGGAAAAGAGAAAATTTTGGAAGATGACAGGAAAGCAGATCAAAACAAGGAGAAATCAAGGGAATTGATTGGCAGTAAAAATGATGAGGAAAGAATTGATTGGGCTGGAGATGCGGGTAAGGATTATATGCTAAAAAGTGATGGTCAGAACCGGGACAAAGATGATGTTGATCAAGGGAATGCTGTCCGGCATTTGGGAGGTGAAGAAAATTCTGATGGTTTGAAAGTTGGAGCTCAGCCTTCTTCAGTTATGCTTGAGGAGCGCATTCGGACGTGAGTAGAAACTACCCCTATGCTTTCTATAAATATGTTTTGTCATGTTTCTATATCTTCAATTTACCTGCTAAGGATACTTATTCTTCCAAATTGGTCATGGGTTTGTGGCAATTCATAACCTTCATATGTTTTTGAATTTCTGGTGAGTGCATAGGTAATAACGAACTCCAGCTGAATTTGATTCTGACACCTTCTTGATGTGTCTAAGTTTTGACTTATAATTCCATTATAATTTGATAATAAGGTTTTCCTTAGGTAGATTAAACTAAAATCAATGCAATTGTATTTAATATTTGTTTTATTCTATTTAGAAGCTTTAGCTTGAAAATTGTGTGGTGATATGATTACATTGCTTGTTGATTTGTTAGGAAGTAATGTTGATGACCAAGGTTTTTACTTCCTTCTAAACTTTTGAGCTGGACTGAAATTATATTTTACTTAAGAGACGAGGTAGTGATTTGAAATTTGAAAAGAAAATGAATGGTATAGAAGCAATGTAAATTCGAGCAGGGGAAGAGAAAATCCCCCACCTAGGATGTCTACGACTCTACAAAAAAACTCAGTCGAGATTAATCAAGAAGGGACTGATTACAAAAAAATCTTGTGAAGGGAAAACATATTGATATCATGCTTCATCCATGATTAAATACTAGCACATGTCAGTATTGAATCAAATTCCAGAGGCAAAGGATCCAGAAGTTCTTCGTTTTCTATGGTTTTGGTAGACCATTATATGACCATAACATGGTAATAGTGCTCTGAATGTAGGTTGTAATTCATTTCATATTTGATAATATCAAATAAGTAAATAGAAGTTCTTGGTTTTCTATGGTTTTAGTAGACCATTACATGGCCATAACTTGGTAATAATGCTTTGAATGTAGGTTGTACTTCATTTCATATTTGATAATACCAAATAAGTAAATAGAACAGCACATATGAAAGATGCATTATATCACCTAGGTATCCGTTTATCAAGTTTTATATATCATATCACATATATTTGTATAATTTCTCTTATTAAGAGAATGATTTTTTTGGAGAGGGAAGGGTAAACCTGTAAATTATCAACACATGGCCATAACTTTCGATGTCGTGTTCAGGTTTGATGGTCAGTTGGACATCTACCGAGAACTTAATTTCTTAAGAGTTTTTCAATGCCAAATAGCGTAGGATCTGGAAATAGTCCTATGAGATTGATTAATTGAGGTAGGCATAAGCTTCCTAGGGGACACCCTTAGGTAGGATCAAGAAAATTATAGACTCCATTACATTCTTATAAGTACCAAATAAAAGAAAGGATCCCTTTCAATGATAATAGATTCAGTCTATAAATTCGCGAAACAATGTAACTGATTCCATTCATATCCTGTTTTTGTCCCATTTTGCTCTAGCATCTTTTCTTATGTACCCATACACTCAATTTCACTTCGTTCTCATATTTACTATCTTGGTGCAGCATGAAAGAAGACAGGCTAAAGAAGCAAACTGAAGAATCTGAGGTTTTATCATGGGTTAAAAGGAGTCGTAAGCTTGAGGAGAAGAAACTTTCTGAAAAAGAAAAAGCATTGCAGCTCTCAAAGATTTTTGAGGAACAGGTTAGTTAACCGCATAATACGAAGATACTTGCAATCTCTACTTACAATGACGCATTTGTGTTAGATTGTAATTGTGGCATTTTGGAATTTCTCAGGACAATATTGATCAAGGTGGAAGTGATGATGATCTTGCAGCAGAAGATACAACTAGTATGGATACTTCCTTTTTGTTTTCCTGCATGAATATTTTGTGGATACATAGATGTGGGAATAATATAAGTCTATCCAGCTCACTTCCATATTTCAATGACTATGTGGGTGCAATAAGGATAATTATGGTGTAATTAATATATGCAGTAGACTGAGAAATATAAGACATCCCTCATTCTTAGAGCATGAAAAGGCAATCAGATAACTTTAAAGCATCTTCGCATGCCTCATTCTTCTTCCCCTTTGGTTTTATTTTTATTATTTCTTCCACGTCTGATTGAAACCTAACATTGTTTTAAAATTCTGAAGAGGTGTGTATGTCTCAAGATGGAAAGAAGGGTGCCTAGAAGTTAGAGAGAGATTACTGAGTTTTGATGTAACTATACGGGTGGCTTATTTATTTCTGTATGCAATTGCCAGGTAATCTAGCAGGAGTTAAAGTACTTCATGGCGTAGATAAAGTACTGGAAGGTGGTGCAGTTGTCTTAACACTTAAAGATCAGAGTATCTTAGCTGATGGTGACGTTAACGAAGGTAAACTACGTTGGTTATTTCTCTTTAGTTTCGGGGCCAAAGTTATCAAGTATTTATATTTTTTAATGCATCAGACATGGATGTACTTGAGAATGTGGAAATTGGAGAGCAGAAGCAGAGAGACATGGCCTATAAAGCAGCAAAAAAGAAAACCGGGATCTATGATGACAAGTAAGTCACTCATTTAAGCGTTCTATGAACTGKTATGTAGTCTTCCTCGCTTATTTTTGCCAATTTTTCTAGGTTTAATGATGAAAATCATGGTGAGAAAAAGATTCTTCCACAGTATGATGATCCCGCAGCTGCAGATGAGGTGTTCAATTTTTCCGTCTTCAGTTTGTCTATTTCTTTAAACTTATTTAAGGATATCTATATCTTATTTGTGTTGTTTACTTGAATCATTTCTAAAATTGGAACATAAGGTTCGTCTAAGAACTGTAACTTGTGTTTCAGGGTCTAACTCTAGATGAAAGAGGACGTCTTACTAATGATGCAGAGAAGAAGCTTGAGGAGGTAATTCATACTTCTCTTCGAACTCAAGATGCTGGTTCCTCCTTTCCTAGTTAATTGTTTAATGGTTTTCGTCTGGATGTTATTTTAGTTTCTGTAATTTTATTCTACATTTCTGCCCTACCCATCATGATTTGAAATGGTTCAGTATATTATTTTGCTTCTTTTTGAGCTTCCTGCTGTTGTCTTTGCAATTTGCCAGCTTCGGAAAAGATTACAGGGAGCTTCTTCAGTCAATCACTTTGAAGATCTGAATGCATCAGTGAAAGTCTCACATGATTATTACACTCAAGATGAGATGCTTCAGTTTAAGAAGCCCAAGAAAAAGAAATCCCTTCGAAAGAAGGAAAAGCTAGATATCGATGCCCTTGAAGCAGAAGCAATCTCTGCTGGATTGGGTGTTGGAGATCTTGGTTCTCGAAATGATTCTAGAAGGCAAGCACGTAAAGAGGAACAGGAAAGGTCTGAAGCAGAAATGCGGCATAGTGCGTACCAGTCAGCCTATGCTAAAGCAGATGAGGCATCAAGATCTCTCCAATTAGTTCAAACTAGTTCAATCAGATTAGAGGACAATGAAGATACTTTCATTGCAGACGATGATGAAGATCTCTATAAATCCTTGGAGAGAGCAAGAAAATTAGCTCTTAAGAAGCAGGAGGAGGCAGCATCCGGACCAGAAGCTATTGCTCTTCTTGCTACAACAACGACCAGCAGTCAGTCAACTGATGATCATAACACAAAAGCTGGAGAGGTGCAGGAGAATAAGGTTGTGTTTACAGAAATGGAAGAATTTGTATGGGGTCTCCAGCTTGATGAAGGTATTATTTTCCTTAATGTCTCTGTTTGGTGCACAAGTTATTGATGTTCACATTGACTGTTCTTTTAAGTCCCTCAATCAATCTTAAAACACTGGATATTCATTGTCTTTATTCTCTCCTATCTCCCCCACCCCATTGGGCTTTGGGCTTTGTTAGTGGTTCTCGTAGGCTTCCTATCTACCCTCTGAACTGTGCCCATCTTTCTTGGGAGTTTCAAGCACAATTTTCTTTTCGTCCAGAAAGATATTTTTTCCGAGTGCTTGCTAAAATGTGACCTGTAATGTCAAACAGAAATTCTTACATGCTATTTCTGTATCATATTGATGTCATTTTTAGAACTTTATCATTGCATATATAAGGTTTTAAAAAAATGAAATAAACGAGGATAACAAGGAAGAGTTAACTTGGGATTCTTTTTCTTTCAGAATCTCATAAACCTGAGGAAGAAGATGTCTTTATGGATGATGATGAAGCACCAAAAGAATATCATGAAGATGAGAAGGATAAGGATGGTGGGTGGACTGAAGTTAAAGATACTGCYGAAGAAGAACCCACACCTGAGGATAATGAGGCAATAGCTCCAGATGAAACAATCCATGAAGTTCCCGTTGGAAAGGGATTATCCAGTGCGCTGAAGCTGCTTAAAGATCGAGGAACTCTGAAGGAAAGCATTGAATGGGGTGGCAGAAACATGGACAAGAGGAAAAGCAAACTTGTTGGTATAGTAGACGAAGACGAACCAAAGGAATCGAAGTCAAAGGAATCCCGTTTATCTTCTTTGGTTGATTACAAAAAGGAGATCCACATTGAGAGGACTGATGAATTTGGGCGAATTGTAAGTTTGCTTGATTCTATAATTTACTCAGCCATATTAGTTTACTTGCATCACATATTCATTTACTGGTTTTTATAGCCTGTTTGCCTAATGGTGATGCCTCCTCTTTCAAATGAATAGAATTACTTTTAGGATAATGTGTTTGTTATATTTCAAATTGCCATACCTAAGTCATGCTTTGCCCTGCCCTTTCTTTATATTTTGTTACAATGTTGAAATGTGCTCCCCACCCCAGAACAAACAATAAACCTACACATTCAAGTTGTGCCACATCTCAATTGTTGGCACTCTACAGTTTTTGCCTAGAGTTGCTAATTTCGTCTTCTCTCGTTGCAATGGAGTTTGATTATAATTTCCGACCAATATTTTCCATGGACAGCTTAGGGTGTGATAATATTCCTATGCTTGCAGTCCAGGATTCTTTTGTTCTCATTTGTGCTCTTTTACTGTACCAGATGACTCCAAAGGAGTCATTTCGACAGCTTTCTCACAAGTTCCATGGCAAGGGACCTGGCAAAATGAAGCAAGAAAAGCGCATGAAGCAATACCAAGAAGAGTTGAAGTTGAAGCAGATGAAGAATGCAGATACACCTTCTTTGTCAGTGGAGAGAATGAGGGAGGCTCAGGCACAACTAAAGACCCCTTATCTTGTTCTCAGTGGTCATGTAAAACCTGGGTATGCTTGGTTTTCATTTGAACAAGTATTTTGCCTTGTGTTTTGGTATTTACTCATTCAGTTTATAACTGTTTTTTGGTTTTCTTTAATGTTTCCAGCCAAACGAGTGATCCAATAAATGCTTTTGCTACTGTTGAAAAGGATCTCCCAGGCGGCTTGACACCCATGCTTGGTGACAGAAAAGTGAGTATTCTCGTATTATTTCTTTTGAATTTTTATCATTAAATGAATTTATAGTACTGAAGAAATTCTCCAGAGTTGGTAGATTTTGATAAAATAAAAACATATTCAATATGTGAGATTTCTAATCATATTTAGACCTTAATTTCTGGCCAGTATCAATTCTTATGTTAGTCAGCTGCTTCTCTATTTGAAATTTCAACAACTGCCTCTCGTCCATGAGTCTCACAATCCCATTCTTATGTGATCTAACTAAACACAAACATTTTATTCTTATTATATTCTCAGGCTTCCATTAAAATTCATCCTTTTTTTTTCCCGAACTTTTTCCACAAATAGAAAATCTAATAGATTTCAAATTTATTCACAATTATTTTCCATTTTGAGAAGGTCAAATATATGTTCTACGTCTCCCAAGCAAAAATGTTTCATTTTCATTTCGGTGCAGATTATATTTACTAATATCTCCTTTTTGTTCTTATTTCCAAAACTATCTGACAAATTTTCAACTGCCTTGTTACCAAACTTCTTATTCTCGGAATTTTAGCATACCAGATCCCTCCTTTTATGTTTATTTGTTTTTGTCAGGTTGAACATTTCTTGGGGATAAAGCGTAAAGGCGAACCTACGAATTCAGGCACAAAGAAGTCCAAAGTTTGAAGTTTCCACATCATTTCACGAATTCAGGCACATCCTTTCACATTGACAAGGCAATTTTATGGTCTCCAAGGCCTTATTGATCCAACTGTGCCGAGTGGGATGGCCATTGCTCAGCAGATAAAAGTTACCTTCCTTTTTTTTAAGGAAAAAAAAAGAGGTGTTTATGGAAGTGAAGGACAATAGAACTTTTACTGTAACTTTTTCACTAGTGTCCTGTTTATGGCCCTCTGGTGTAAATGTCACTTTGTTACATTTTAAATGACCTTTTGATGAATTGGAGGGCTTTTTTGTAACCCATCATCATTGGGTCTTCCCTTTTTGTACATTTTATATTATCAATGAAATATGTCTCTTACCAAAAAAAAAAAAAAAGTTTGAAGTTTGCAACTTTAACAACAATTAGTAGCAAGAAACCATGTTTAGTTCATCTTATCTTACCAACTAGACTCAACGATCGTTTGTATGATAATCAATTAATCATCATATCTTCGGTTTTATTATTATTTTAGAAAAACTTTAGTACAAATAGTGGGTTTGTCTAACAAGTCTAAATTTGTATAACCCTATGTGAAAGAACCTTTATTTAGGAAGAGTTCCTTTGGTAACTTATAGACTTTTGTTTGAAAATTTGTTAAAAAATTGTATATTGCACACGATAAATTATAAAACATACAGTACAAAGGTAAAAATTCATTTTCCTTCTCCTTCAAAATTAGTAATTTATTTTAATTCTTATTTAGTAAGTTAAAATAGTTAATAGTTCATTTTGGTTCTTATATTTTAAAATAGAAGTATTCATGGGTTGGGTTGAGTCGGGTTAGGAGGGGTTTTGGAATCGACTTGAATTTTTGGGTTGGCCATATACATGAATCAAGTCAATCCAACCCAATATTTTTAGGTTGGGTTGGGTTGAGTCATCGGATTGTGTGTGTGTTTTTTTTTAATTTTTAATTTTTAATTACCATAATAGAGAGTTGATTAAAAATAACTAGATGGATGAGATTAAGATACAAAATGGAAGAAGATAATATGAAAACATTAATTGAAGGGCTAGAATTAAAACTAAATGGACGAAGATAAATATATATATTTATATATATAATTTTAAAAATACACATATATGTGCATAAATTCGGATTGAGTTAGATTGACCCAATTTTTTAAAGGTTAAATCCAAGACCCAACTTAACTCGAGACTTCATCTAACCCAATCTAACACTTACGGTTTGGGTTGGGTTCGTTGGATTGTCGGATTTTTTTAACACCCATTATCTACATTTTAAACTCTAGTCCGTATATTAAAAATGTTCTTTCGTCTCGTAAAATAGTGATCAAAAGTTTAATAAAATCATGGTTAAATTTTAGAAAATATATTGAATATAATTGAAATTTAAAGGACGTAGACTGAAATAGTTTTTTTAAAAAAATAAAAACTCCAAAAGTTTTACGTGGCAACAAGAACTGATTCCCCGCGACTGGGAGCGACACGAACAAAACCAGAAAAACTAAACCCTAGGCCTAGCTCCCATCTACGCGGTTCGGATTTCCTTTGCTGTGTGGAAAAATCCAACGGCTTGTTCTGTGTCTTGGGAGCGGCCATGAAGATGTTCGGGATCAACGGAAGCACCATAACTCTCGCCCTCTTCGTGGACGTCACCAATTCCAAGTACTCTTTCTCGCTCTATCCGGTTTCCCGACAGTGAAATTTTGGTTGACAGTGATTAGTGAGGGAATGGTTACCTTATAAAATCATGTGGGCTCGATTTTGTTTTTGTTTGTTTCTTTCCAGCTGTTTGATTTTGGGATATCTGCCAACTGTTTGAGAAAATGCTTCAACTAAATTATGCAAGAAATTGAGGAGAGCTAATTCTAGTGCACTTGAATTTCATTTTCATAACATAATGTGATCGCTTTTATTGAATAAACTTGCTAGTTCCTGATAAATACGATGTGGGGTTTCTTCCGTTTTTGAAGTGGCAGTAATGTCTGTGTTGGATTTTACGAGCTATTTGTGAAAATCATGGGGGTTTAAATATAATTATGACCTATGGGTATCATTTGATACGTTCTTATGTGAGTGTATTATTTGTTAATATTGTTAGTTGTGGTTAATATTATACTACTCTCGCGTTCAAGGGAGACTTGTTGTACATGCACTGGAGATTTAATAATATCAGTTTCTGCTTCTCTCCCATCACTGATTTCTTCTTCTTCTCATATGCCTGAGTTCAATTCATATGTATGTATTTGTAGAACAAACTATGTTATTGACAATTGAAGTGCCTAATAAAGTAATATATTTTCAGGGAACTTCTTGATTCTATGCAAGCTGGAACTCTGGAGCCGGAAGTTGCATTTCTCAATGCCTCTCTTGTATGGTTACTTATATATGCTTATCAAAATACCCCATTATTGTTTCAGCTTTGAATTGTGTCTACGAATTCTCTAACTTTTGCTAAATAAAAAAACTGAAGACAGATCCCAGATGTTTTCCCGGTGCTCGCGTCTGCTTATAAGACACTTGTATCTAAGTCAAGGGATTCTCTGACTACCCGCACCCCTCATTCAGAACTAGTCTACAATTATTCGGGTTCAAAGCATGTAATTATTCTATCTGACTTCTTGAATATTACAGTCTGTGCTTATTTGTTTGTGGCTATGTACGAGTTATATTTTGATTCAATCAATATGCAGATTACAGAGTCTTTAAAAAGATGCGGAATTTCTGATAACTCCTCTTATGTCCTTGCGGCTCGTTTTAACGCTTCTCCTGCCGAGGTTGGATTTAGATCTTGTGAAACTAAATTATCTTACCTTGTTGTACACGTTTATTTATAAACTCTGAATTCTTGAAAAACTTTTTTCTTTTGTACAATCTATTTTCCATGGTAGATGGAAGCTGTTGAGAAACTTGTACATGGTAAAGAGATCAGCTTAGAGGAGTTGGGAGAGAGAGCAGACCAAGCTAAGATTCAAAAGGTGCAGTCTATGTCTTCATCATCTGCCAATTTTGGTTTTTTCTGCTTAGAAGTTTGAACTCAGGGCCTTAGGGAGGATATCTAAACATGTTAAGCTCTTACCACCTAAGCACCCGTGGGAGCAATCAATTTTGGTCTCGTCCTTACCAATAGCAAAATCAATTGATAATCTTTTTCTCTCCAGCATTTTAAGATCACCGGACCCGAGTTGACGGTRTCCTCAGTTGGAGATGCTATAACATGTCGGATCGCTGCACGCGATGCCTTGTAGGCGAAAAAAGCTGCAACAAAGTTTCATCTTGGGCAGTTGGCACACAAAGTTACTCTTCTCTGTAGGCGAATCATGAATGTATTAAATTGTTTACAGTTAGTATTACTTTTAGGTTGATGATGCAGAATGTTCAATTAATTATGCTGTTGTTGTCCTTTGGGATGGAAATTGATTAATCAATTGGCGCTTGCTGTTTCTCTGTGCTTCTTTTTTGGCCTGATATTGTTTTYTTTTGGTTAAAAACCATTTTTGGTCATGTGTTGTAATAATGATTTAGTCGTATTTTCAAATTGGTAACAATTTTGTTCTCCAAATTTTAATGYGTAACAATTTAGTCTATGTAGTTTAAAAATTGTAACAATTTAATCTCTACCTTGAAAAATCTCATCGAAAATAAGCGTGGATTAATTGAAAGACTAACTCATCAATTCAATGAAATTAGAAGGATCAAAAGTATTTTTTAACTCTCTGAATCTTTAGAGTGAAGAGTGAAGATTTGAATATCTGATCTTTTTAATTGACAAGTACTCTCTGAATCTTTAGAGTGAAGAGTGAAGATTTGAATATCTGATCTTTTTAATTGAAAATACTTGTCGATTGAGTTGATTTATTTTCAAGTTGGCATAACATTTATGATATTATATATGAGAGTGAAGAGTGAAGATTCGAATATYTGATCTTTTTAATTGAAAATAATRTCGATTGAGTTGATTTATATTCAAGTTGGCATAACATTTATGGTATTATATATGTTTCACTTATTGATGTTCTCTACTAATTTTCTATAAATTTTCTATAAATTTATTTTTAAGAATAATTAAATTCCAAAAAACTTAACTAAAAATATACAAAATGTTACAAAAAATGTTTATATTTCAGAAAAATAAGCAGCAAAATATAAAATAGATCCCACATAATAAAATTAAAATATTTATTCTTGTGATGGGTGTTACCTTATTGAATTTTTGAGATATGATACATTTTATCAAAATTTAAAACTGTGTTATGCAGAAGCATGGCTAATTAATTTACGTCATTATTTGAATTAATGGTCAAAAATACTTTTTATTGAAGTTTGGATCAGTTATAAATTAAAGGATGTTCAAATTAAATTATTACTTTTTTTAAAAGACGTTCGAATTAAATTAAAAGACAAAATAGGTAAATCAAATAAATAGTGCTACGTGGCAGTTGTAAAGAATATAAAATTGTCATTAAAATTCAAATCAATCAAAGTTTAAAGAGTGTTTCTAAAATTAAAATACATTAATAAAATTATTTTTTAGTACTGTGAGACTTTATCTACTATGATTAAATGAATTTTGATTCCCTTTTTATTTTTTTATTTGTTATTTTTAGTTTATAAGCTTTCATATAATTGATGTTAATTCCTAATTTTTGCCTAAAAATTATTATAGATATTGCATATTAATTTTGATATATTTAGCATATAAACTTAAAAAACATTCAATTATGTTGTCTTAAAATAATTTTCTTTTATATCCATTAATTAGTTTTYGGTGAAACATACCTATCGAATAAATTTTGGTTTGTTCGACAAGGTAAATAGAATGACACMTGCAACATATTATCTCRTTTGAAGTAAAAATTTAAGGATCGATCTTCACTTCTRCCCACATTTATTAGATTAAAAAAATAAAAAGAATTAGTTATTGTAATCAAGTCAAAATCTCAACTCTTGAGCTTTATAATAAACTTCAATACGGTTGTTTTTGTAAATCTATATTTTGAAATGCATTATTTATTTTATTAAWTTTTTTGAGTTTCATTATTTTGTCAGGTTATTTGAAAAGAAAAGAAAGACTATTTTTAAAACCAAATAATAAATGAGAGAGATGATTGTGGCTCCGTGGGCCGAACTTATTTCATCGTTATTTTCTTCGAATTTTTATGTAATTTAAATTAAGAGCAATTAAAGCAGTCTATATTATAATTTTATTTTGAGTTAGCTTTTTCTCCACGCACCCTCCAACGTCTACTCAAACGTTCGTAGCTCTCCCGCTCCCGCTCCCGCCTTATTTTTYTTCTTCTTCTTCTCCTCTGTGGTCGCCCTCGTCTTCAGTTCCCCTAGTCAACAATCCAGCTTTGATTTCCTTTTCCGATCTCATTTATGGGTTCTACTTAGGGTTTTCTCCACTCTCTTCATTCAATCTCGCTCATCATCAGTCGATTACTGGTTTTGGAAGTATTGTAATTATATTTTCATGGTGATCGCTCGATGTTCTACCGCTTCGATCATCTCTTCCTTCTTCCTCATCCCCTCGACGGCAACCGATGTTTCTCCGTCCTCTGTCTACGGCCTCCGATTCAAATTGTGGTGGTCGGAGGGATGTTAGGTTCAACAACCGAGGGAGAGGCGCAACAAAAGTTTTGCATCCCTAGGGTTTCGTTTTGCTCCATCTAAAATTCGGTTGGTTTTGTCTATCATACACATGTTCGATCCTTATACTTCTCAACCTCGTGTTTTTAATCCTTCTTGATTTTGATCGCAGTGAAACTGAGGTCGAGGATTGGGATAGGCACCCAGATCCTGACCAAGACCGAAGCCGGGGGCAATTTGATATCGCAGAAGGCCGATCGTGACCAAGATCATTATGATCAGTATGATGAATGGAGGACGATTATCATTATGAGCAAGGCACTTCTGAATCCACATAATAGAGAGAGGTCTCTTGATGTGATTTATGAATATAGGCGCACTGAAAGATCTCATTCGAGAGAGTATTAGTTTCTCATGCTGCAGTGTCTTTTACTGGTAAGTATCTACTCACTAACCATCATTTTMTTTCCAATAATTTATAAGCAAGTCTTCGCCAATATTCCTGAATGTTCTGTTCCATATTTCAATTTTTTGTTTAATTTTTCTGGTATTTGTTTTAGTCTTTAAGTTTAATCTTTATTGTATCTTTTGTTTTTCTTTTTTGACGTTTTTTTGTGCTACAAATTTCATTTTTTTTATTTAGAGGTTAAAAGATTAAATTACAATAGAGATTAAACCAAGAATTAAGGTTTACATGTAACATGGTGGAAGGGCTTCGTATTGGAATAGACATATTAAAACCGAAGGATAACAATTCTTTTGGAGGGAGAAGTTAGTTTTTGAATAAATGCTGTAAGGAGCTTGTAAATGTTATAGATTTGTGGGCAAAGTTTTGGCAACTGTGAATCTCTTCTATCTAGTCGTTGTAGTTGAAGATGTTTTCTTAGGCATAAAGTATGTTCAAATTAGAGATCCAGTAGCATATGATATTCAATTTTACATAATTTTGGACAAGTGGTGAAGAAGCTTGTAAATTCAAAAGGAACAATTCAGTGATGCCAAAAGGAGGTCATTGGGAATTTTAACCAATGGGAGTATTTGAATAGAAGTTACTTGGGCTACTGTTTTTGGAGAAAATTTGGGTTGTTTTGGTCAAATAAATAAGATGGATAAAGGATAATATCCTAGTATAGTTGTCGGTTATGCATTTAAGGAGGGAAATGTTATTTGTTGGGATAAATGAATTTTGGATTAAATTAAAGAATGAGATGAGATCACAAGTTACTTTTTTTTGTAAAGACATCATGTTTTGAGAAGAAGGTAGGAATTTTTGTGATTTGGATTAGACAAAATGATCGAGCTACCAAGTACTTAAGGCTTGTTTCATAGACGTTGAGGAAAAAGGGTCGTAAAGATTTACAAAGTGGATGAAGTTATAAGATGACTACATGAAGGTACTTTCTTAAAATTATTGATATTCTTCCTTGAAAAGTGAAATAGAAAGATAACATTACAGATTATGTAACTTTAAGTTGAAGAAGGTACATGTATTATGGTGGAAGGACTGTCTAAGAATAGGCAAATTTAACTTGTAGAACGAAGAATGGAGAAGATGATTTTGGAGTAAGATGACATGTGTTATAACAAGCTCGATAATATTATATTTTTGTTGGAAAAGTTAAAGACAAATGTGAATCACTTCAATTTGGTTATTACAGTTGAGGATTTTGCTTCCATTTGGTTACAAAATTTTGTACGAGTGGTGGAGAAATTCACAAGTCTAAAAGGGGCAATTGATGGATGATGAAAAGGAGGTTTAAGGGAATCTTAAACAATGAAAACACTAGAATAAAAGATATTACATMTATTGTTCCAAGAGGATGGTCAATCAGACAGATAAAGAGAACATTGTGGATTTTTAAGTTGTATGATTTGGTATTTAAGAAATTTATGGACTAAAGAATGAGATGAGACTGCAACTTTTCTTAAGATTTCTCTCTCTTTTTTTCTTTTTGACTGGAGGGCAAGAATATTTTGTTATTTGTTTTTGATATAATGAATTAGCTACCAAGTATTAAGGTTTAATTTTGGGTGAGGGAGGAGAAAGGGTTGTAAAGATCGGCAAAGTGGATGAACTATTATAGTGATGGGACGAACACTTCTCATAATCATTGACATTTTGTTTTAAAGTAGGGATTTGGTGGAAGGAGCAAAGAAAGAGAAATTCTTGGAGGAGTTGCTTTTGGAATATAATAACATATGTCACGAGAAGCTTGGAATTTTGTGGGGCAACTTAAGACAATGTGAATCACTTCCATCTGGTAATTGTAGTTAAAGATCTTTCTTAGAAACATAGTTTGTTCAAATTGGAGATCTATTACTAGTATATGATTTTTTGTTATACAAAATTTTGGACGAGTGGTGGAAAGCTTGTAAGTCAGAAAGGAACAATTGAGGGATAATGAAAAGAGGTTTTAGGAAATTTTAACCAATGGAAGCACTTGAATAGAAGATATAAGGGGTATTGGTGGCAGAGAATAGTTGGATTGTATTGGTCAATAAGATGGATGGATAAAGAACAATCTTTTAAAGGAGAAAGATACGTGTAGTCCAACAGAAAACTATGTATTATAATAGACGATATTAAAATAAAAAAGGGAAAAGGGAAAAGTTTGTTTTGGAACAAGATGGCATGTGCCATAAGAAGTTTGGATTGTATTGGTAAATAAGGTTAATAATTGAAAAGATGATGAAGAGATTTGAGAGAATTGTAATGAATGGAATCGTTAAAATAAAAGATTGATTCTACTGGTCAATAATATGGATAAAAAAAAGATTTGCAAAGTAATATTAAGATGATGTAACGAAGATACTTTCTTAGAATTACCAATAAGTTTCCTCGATAATTAGATCTTTGAGTGAGTTGAAACATGGGAGAATCAGAATAAAAGACATTTGGGTTATTGGTGGCAGGTAATAGTTGGGTTGTATTGGTAAATAAAATGGATAAAGGAGAATCTTTTGGATTGTTCGAGTTCAATTGGTATTTATTTAAGGAGGAAGGAAGGTACTTTGTTAGGGTAAAAGGATTTTTGATTAAAGTATGAAACTGGAATTCGATTCTTTAGATTTTTTGTCTGAGTTTTTGTCATTCTTTGGATTGGAGTATAATGATTGAGCTACCAAATGATAAGGTTTATTTTGGGACAAGTGAGGAAAAGGGTTATATATTTGCAAATTGGATAAAGTATTAAGATTATGGGACGAAGATATTTTCTTAGAATTGCCAATAAATTTCTTTGATAATAAGATGTTTGAGAGGGTTGAAACAATGGAAGCACCAAAATAAAAAAAACATTAGGGCTATTGGTGGAAGAGAATAGTTAACAATGGAAGCACCAAATTAAAAGACATTAGGGTTAGATTCTATTGGTCAATAAAATGGATAAGGAAAATCTTTTGGATTTGTTGAGTCGAATTGTTATGTATCTAAGGAGTAAGGGAGATACTTTGTTATGATAAAGAGATTTGGATTTAAGTACAAGTTTCAACTTTTTGTCTAAAGAGTTCTTGTATTATTTGGATTGGAGATAATGATTAAGCTACAAATAATAAGGATTATTTTTTGGACAAGTGAGGAAAAAGGGTCGTAAAAGATTTTGCGAAGTAGATAAAATATTTAGATTATGAGATGAAGATYCTATTTTAGAATTGCCAATAAGTTTCCTTGAAGAATTAAATTGGAAAAAGATTCACATAGTGTTGTAGATGGAGGACTACGTATTCAAATAGACATAAAATTTTTGAAAAAGAATGTTTCAAAATGTTTTTTGTGCAAAGTTGAGACAATTGTGAATTACTCCCATTTAGTTGTCATAGTGGAGATTTGATGGACAAGGGGTTAGAAGAAACTCATAAGTTTAAAAGGAACAATTGATGGATGATGAAATGTGGTTTGAGAAAATTTTTTACCATGGAAGCAGTAGAGTAAAAGATATTGGGGTAATTGGTGCTAAAGAAGGTTTTATTGGTAAACAAGACGGGTAAAGGGTTAGAATTCTTTGAAAAGTTTATTTTAGAATAAGACAGCATAAAGAAATTTGTAAATGTTCTAGGTTTGTGTGGAAAGTTAAGAATTTTTGAGCCGTTTCATTTGATTTTCATAGTTGTGAATTTTTCTTGGCCATGTAGTTTGCTCAAATTGGAGATCTATTAGTATACCTATGCGGTTTTGAGTTTTACAAGTTTTTGGATAAGTTGTGGAAAAACTTATAAGTCTACAAGGAAGAATTGAAAGACGTCAAAAGAGATTTGAGAGAATTGTAATGAATGGAAGCATTAGAGTAGCAGATGTTAGTATAATTGGTGCTAGAGAAAAGTTTGACTCTATTGGTCAATAAGATGGATAAAGGACAATAGTTTGGATTTGTTGAGTTTTGTTGCTATGTATTTAAGGAGGGAGACAAATACCCGTTAGGGTAAAAGAACTTTGGATTAAAGAATGATACTAGACTTCAATTTCCTGTTTTAAGAATTCTTTTCTTGAGAAGTGGATAAGAATTAAGAATTCTTTTCTTCAGAAGTGGATAAGAATTTTCGTCTGGGGGTACTGATTGAGCTACCAAGAAATAAGATCTTCTTTGGGCTTGTGATGGAAAAAGGTTATGAAGACGATAAAGTGGAATGAAGTATTAGGATGATCAGATATAGATACTTTTCAGATTGCTATTGGTTGGCTTGAAGGATTAAATGAGAATACATTAGACATTATGTACTTGAAGGATTAAATGGAATGATATCTGTAGTTTCGTGGATGGAGGACTATGCATCAGAACGCACATATTAAAACCAAAAGTGAAGAATTCCTGGAAAATTTAATTAGGGAATAAGATGACATATTTAATAAGAAGTTTGGATGTTATAGATTTGTGCGGAAAGTTAAGATATTTTGTGAATCACTTCCATCTGGTCATTGTTGTGGCAGATTTTTAATGGTATATGGTTTTTAGTTGTTCAAGTTTTGGACAACCAGTTGAGAAAGTCATAAGTCCAAGAGAAACAATTGTGGGACGACGATTCATAGTTGGATGGAAGTTCTAAAMATGGATGCAYTACAATAAAAGATATTGGGGTTATTGGTGAAGTTGGATTGATTTGGGAATAAGATTAAAAAAGTACAATATTTTGAATTTATCGAGTTTTATAGTGATGTATTTAACGAGGGAGAAAGATAATTTGTTAGGATGATGGAGTTTTGGGAAAAAGAATGAGATTGGACTTTAACTTTTGTTCTAAAGAGGTTGATGATAATTTTTCGTTATTTGGATGGGAGATAGTGATTAAGCTACCTTGAATTAAGGTTTGTTTTAGGAACAAGGAGGAAAAAGGGTCATAAAGATTAGCGAGGTGGGCAAAGTATTAAGATAATAGGACGAAGATACTTTCTTATAATTGCTGATAATTTGCCTTGAAGATTGAAATGAGTAATGATTAAC